CGTCTTCCAGATCCTTTAATGCCGTGAGAAAAAGTAGACATTGGTCATGGGCCAAGGGGTCTGTTTAGCTCCTGAATTTAGGCAGATGCTGGGAAGTCATGGGTCCTGATCAGCTGCTGTTCCTGCTTTTGCAGGTTACAATGCCTGGAGACACTTTTGTGGGCTCTCCCAGCCTCAAAACTTGGACGAATTCTCTGAAGTGCTAGGCAATTCCAAACTGGCCAAGAAGTTCATGGATTTGTATGGGACACCGGACAATATTGACCTCTGGATTGGGGCAATCGCAGAACCCTTTGTTCCCCAGGGCAGAGTTGGACCCCTCCTGGCCTGCATCATTGGCACTCAGTTCAGGAACCTGCGTGATGGGGACAGGTAGGTAGCTCTGAGAGCAAACCTTCCCTGTGGCATTTATTATGGGAAAAAATGCTGACATTTTATGCAGCACACTGATCCAGCCCATCTTCAACACACCAGTGAGTGCTCCCAGCAAGGCTCACACCTTTATTTTAGCCTGGTTGCCAAAGGGCTCTTTTTTCTAGCTGTTTCTACAGACCCACACTGGAGACATCTCTTTCCAAAGGGGTGTGCTTGCTGCCTGATGAATCAAGGTGGATCTGAGCAGAGACTCACCTTGGTCAGATTCCTATCTTGGCAAGTAACCGTACTCTGAGCTGCTCCTGAAAATATCATTGCAGATTCTGGTGGGAGAAACCAGGAGTTTTCACTCCACAGCAGTTGCACGCACTAAGAAAAATCTCACTGTCGACGGTGATCTGTGACAATACTCGTATCAAAAAGATACCCAGGGATGTGTTCAAGGTCAACAGTTATCCTGAGAACTTCGTTGACTGCCACGAGATCGACAGGCTTGACCTCTCACCCTGGAAAGATGAGCCTGAGAGTGACACAAAAGGTAAGCAGTTGTCTGAGGTCTGCCAAAAATAATAAATACCCTACAAGGTCAGACTCTTCTGTGCCTAAAAAATAAAAGAATTAAGGTCATCACAGTGACTCTACCCCAAAAAGGCCTTGCCCAGCCATTCAGACCTACGCGGACACCACTGGAGGCAGAGGTGCTGTTAGCCTAAGTCTCCTTGCAATCTATCACCTTCATCATCCCTTACTAGCCTGCTTTTCCTCTTCAGCTAGGAGGGAAATCCCTGAAAATCCAGTCTGTTCTGGTCCTTGTGAACATGTCCTTCTCTGAGCACCTTATTCCAGGACAACTGGAGTCTTCCTTCACAGGAAGAGTGTCCCTGAAGAAATCAATCAGAATTAGCCAACCTGCTCTGAATTCTTACTTCCCTGCTCCAAGCCCCTGCTCTCCTCTTGCCTTCCCTTAAGCTTTAAGGCCTCTTGAGGTATATCTGGCATTATGTTGACACTGTATGGCCTGACACACCAGTAGTTTAACACACATAATCAGAGATCATGATGTGCCACATCCTGAAAGACAGTAAAACAGTGTCTTCATACAAGAGGTGTGGACACTAGCTGTGTCCTCCTACTGGTATGCTTTTGGCAGGGGGTCTTCCAGTTGAAAATGATGTAGGGAGAACAGAGACTTGCAGAAGACAGGTATGACCTGAGCAGAATGGACCGGATTCAAATTTTCCTTCTGGCAACCCATTTATAGATGATCACAATACCTGGATCACCTACTCTGTCCTTCTTCAAGGCACAGACCACAAAGCATCTCCATGTAGTTCCTGTATTGAGTTTGATAAACTATTTGAGACAAATACCACTGTTTAAGAAAGAATTTGCACTTGATATAAAGGCTAAATTATGGTGACTTCACCCCATTCTTTAGGAACCAAGCCCAGCTGATCTTGCCTTCTCTATAAACATTAAAGGCTTCCTGATTTCTTTTATTACCTTAGTCTTATGGTCACTAAAAATCGCTGAGCTGCTTCCTGTGGCTTTTTTATCACCAGGCTGGGAGGAAGCTGAACTGTGTTTGCATAACCCAGAGATGGTGAAATCCCAGGGTGTTAAAAAGCAACTGCTAGAAGTTTAACCTTTTCAAGTGCCAAGAAGTTGCCCCAAAAGCTCTCGTCCAAAGGGCTGTCTGCTGTCAGGTCACTGCAGGTACCTTTTGACAAGGCTGAAGGCATCGCAGTGTCTCAGAGGTACAAGGATACAGGGGTGACCTCGTATGCAGTTACCCATTCCTTAGTGACTATTTTAAGCTATAGAGTCAAATAAAAATGTGGGGAGAAATATTGTGCCCTGGAAAGGAGTCAAATAAAAATGTGAGGAGAAATACTGTGTCCCGGAAAGACTTTCGGCCTCTCAGTAGCTTTTTCTGCTTCACTGACAGTTTCTAATCCTGCTCGTCAGACCAGCGTTGGAAATTCCTAATGGTGGCACTGAGCTGCTCTTAGGAAACCGCTGCCTGTACATCATGCTCAGCTGACTGCTGTCCACCGAACCTCGGCACGTGATTTCCCAGAGAGGAGCTTAAGACTGTGTCTACTGTTTTATTTGCTGAATGGTGATTTTTATTGCGTTCATTTGTAAAAGCCTCCAATAATGTAACATTTCAGACAGAAGGGTGGTGAACATTTTATTGCCTGTTGCCCTAAAAAAATGTTCAGAGTTGTGCAAGGCTTGGTTAGGTGCTGGATACTTTGACTCTCTAAACGCACAATCAAGACAAACTTTTTACTTCCCGTCCTGAATGGGTGTTAAATATGGAGGTTGGTGCGCTTGCATTTCAAAATCAAATTCCTTATCCTTTGTACCTGCTCAGAAATAGCAAGTTCATGTAATCTTTATCAAAACTTTTCTCATCTCGTTGTTTGGCACAAGAGCATAAACTGTTCAGGCTGTTTCTAATTAGCAGTGACATTTCAGCCTTTGAAGACACTGTAGAACGGCAGCTGCATCTTGAAGCCTGGAAACATATTTTATTTAAATCCTATAGTGAACATGAGCGTGTTTGCGTGTGCTGGGCAGTAATAAAATACATTATGTGCACATCTGGCATCAATTCTGGTATGTCAAGCATGTGTCCAAAACATTCTTTGGCTATGGTTCATAGCTAAATGTATCAGCATAGAAAAGCAAACCGAAAGCTGGCTGGTATGTAAACCACAAGCATTAGGGCCAAAAAGTAATCGTCTGGCTGGGATGATCACTCCCAAGAATCATCATCGTGCATCAGAAGAAGTGTGGCCAGCAGGCAAGGGAGGTGATTCTGCCCCTCTACTCCACTCTCGTGAGATACCACCTGGAATATTGCATCCAGCTCTGGAGCCCTCAACATCAGAAGGACACGGACCTGTTGGAGCCTGTCCAGAGGAGGACATGGAGGAGATCCGAGGGCTGGAGCATCTCTGCTGTGAGGACAGGCTGAGAGAGTTCGGGTTGTTCAGTCTGGAGAAGAGAAGGCTCTGGGGAGACCTTATCGCAGCTTTCCAGTATCTGAAGAGCACCTACAGGAAAGCTGGAGAGGAACTTTTTACAAGGGCATGTACTGATAGGACAAAGGGTAATGGCTTCAAACTGGAAGAGGGGGGATTTAGAATAGATATTAGGAAGAAATTTTTCACTTTGAGGGTGGTGAGACACTGGAACAAGTTGCCCAGAGAAGTGGTGGCTGCCCCATCCCTGGAGGTGTTCAAGGCCAAGTTGGACCAGGCTTTGAGCAACCTGGCCTAGTGGGAGGTGTCGAGGTGTCCCTGCCCAGGGCAGGGGGGTTGGAACTAGATGGTCTTTGAGGTTCCTTCCAAACTAAATAATTCCGTGATTCTATGAAGACTGTATTAAGTCAATAAATACCAAACATGTAAAAATCATATCAAGTTGCCATTTCTCCTTGGCACAATTGGGAGGCAAGGAGGGGACTGGGAGCAAGAAGGTGACAGCCTAAGGAAGAGTCATGAGTAAAGCTTCTAGGTGGAGTAGGTACCTCCCTGATGAGGAAATGAAGGAGATGCTCGGTAAAAATCCCACAACTACAGTATTGGATGGGAGGGTGCCATGGGAGGGTGTGCTGGCCAGTCCTGCCCATCTCAGCCCAGTGCCCACCCACAGCCTGGGGAGCCCTCGGGAGATCCATGGGTCTGCCAGGGCCCCAGGTGAGTGATGTAGCATGGGGATGGTGCTGATCCATGAGCCCCCAGCATGTGGGGAGCGGGGAAAAGCTCTGGTGACCCTGGGCAGAGGAAGACAAGACACCATCCTCTGACACACAGAAGACAGGTCAAAATCAGGCAATATTCAGAAATCAGGAGCTGCGGCTTCCACAGTGTATTTGCACATACATAGGTTGTGCTAAAACTCATGAGATTATCAGGGCATGGCAAGGATGTTAAGCCTTATGTTTTTGCTGTTTGCCTCTGGTTTCTGAGTCCTCAGGCATGTTCCCCTCACACTTTCAAAATCTGCCAAACCACTGAAAGCAAAATCTTGCTTTGCTTAAAAGGAAGGCTAAGAAAAACAAAGAAACCACCAGCCCCTGGAGACACATGTAAGGTCTTTAATCGCCCTTTTGTGGCAGAGGAACCTCCCAAGTCTACCCCACGGAATGAGGCAGGAGACGGTCCCTTATCTTGAGTGTGCTTCCAGAGGAACATGGCAGCCCTCAAACCCCAGGACAGCCACTTCCCCAGGCAAGATGACCACGGGCTCAGGGATAAATGCCTCCACTTTGTTGGTTTGGAATAGGAAAAGTTGATTGTAAGATGCTCACAGGAAGGGTCCAGCTCTGCCTGGGATCCAGCTGGAGAGAAGTTCTCAGGGTTACGGTTACAAAGGAATGTCCAGCTAGCCACTATGTGTCTGTCCACACAGGTGGCACAGTCCTCTGGAAGGAACGTGGCAACCATTTCACCACCTCCACTTACAAGCTTTTCTCCTCTGTGGATGTTTTTGCTGTCTCCAGTATGTCAGGGTTGCAATCCATGGTTGTCTCTGCTTCCAGATCTTCTTGTGGTTGCCATGCCCTCCCCCTCTGCTGCTACACACACAGCTGGAGCTGGAAAATAGGACCACTAATGGGAAGCCCCATTCGTCATTCCTGATATCCCCTGATAGGCAGTGAGCATGGAGTCACGGACTTGCTCAGTGAGCTTGGGAACATCGTCTGGGCCCAGGCCGAAGGTCTCCACTTCTGGCAGGATCTGGATGATGCTTTTCCCTGGAAGAGGGAGACAGGAGGGTCAGAGAGCAGGGAAGGAAATATATGAGTGGTGTAGAAGAGCAAGAGAAGATATAGGAGCGGGATCAGTGCAAATGAAGGAAAAAGACAGAAAGGAAGGGAAAATGCCCTCCTTCATACACCAAAAGCTGTGTAGCAACCCAGCCATGTCCCAGATGCACACAGCAAAACCCTGAACCAGACTTTTCCCATCCACAGAGATCGCAAAAATCATAAATACAGAAACAGGTGAATCTCTCCCTAAAGATATTCAATGCAATGATTCGTATCAAATAAATTTTCACAGTGGAAAGACCTCAGGATCTGTCTATATCACGGCAAAGAGAATGAGATGTCTGTAATACAACACACCCAAACTGGTCATACTCTGATCTATGTATACCAAATTCAGCAGAGTCCCTCTTTCCAGAAGTGTGCTTCAGGATGAGATAAATCGTGCCCAAGACCCCCTCTTTGGCCAAGGTGTGTCAATACTCTTGGGAAGCACCTGAGCAACGGACTGGTGCAAACTGGAAGAATATACTGGGGAGCTATCATTGTGCTCTTCTGCTCTTGCGCCTGTGGCCCTTGTTCTGGACAGCAGAGACAACATGCTGCCTGTGCAGACACCTACCTAAGGATCTGGGGGGTGTCTGTGTTATTTTTTAACTTTCATGCATGCCTTTACACATGTGCTGGGAAATGAGATGCAGAAATGTCGCTAGCAGAGCCATGTAAGGGAGGCAAAACAGAAGCATAGAGAAGAGCTTCACAAAAGAAGAGGGCACGCTCCCTGCCTGCACATATTACATCCAAAGCTAGATCTGGTGTCTCAGGAGTCTACTATGCTTCACTTGGTCCTACAGAAAAAGCTGAGAGATGACAGGCCTGTGCTGAAAAGGTAGGTCTGAACAGACTTCCAGCAAGCACCAGACTTCACAGAATCACAGAATTGTGGGGGTTGGAAGGGCCCTCTGGAGCTCCCCCAGTCCCACCCCCTGCCAGAGCAGGGGCACCTCCAGCAGTGGCACAGGACGACGTCCAGGTGGGTTTGGAATGGCTCGAGGGGGGGAGACCCCCCCACCTCTCTGGGCAGCCTGTGCCACTGCTCTGCCGCCCTCACAGCAGAGAAGTCCCTCCTCAGGTTGAGATGGAACTTCCTGTGTTCCAGTTTGTGTCCGTTCCCTCTTGTCCTGTCACTGAGCACCGCTGAACAAAGACTGCTCCCATCCCCCTGGCAACCCAAGTCCCTCAGCCTTTCATCATAAGAAAGATGCTCCAGTCCCCTCATCATTTCTGTAGCCCTTTGCTGGACCCTCTCCAGCAGTTCCCTGTCCTTCTTCACCCGGGAGCCCAGAACTGGACACAGCACTCCAGATGCAGCCTCACCAGGGCAGAGTAGAGGGGGAGGATGACCTCCCTCGACCTGCTGGCCACACTTTTCTTGATGCAACCCAGGATGCCATTTGCCTTCTTGGCCACCAGGGCACATTGCTGGCTCATGGTCATCCTGTTGTCCACCAGGACTCCCAGGTCCCTTTCCACAGAGCTGCTCTCCAGGAGGTCAGCCCCTAACAGGTACTGATGCATGGGGTTATTCCTCCCCAGATGCGGTACCCTACACTTGCCCTTGTGGAATTTCATTGAGTTCTGCTCTTCCTCCACACATAACAGTGTGGGCACACACTGGATACACAGCTGGGCTTACCAGAAGCTCATTAGCATGCCCAGAGCCACTGTGGACATGACGAGCTGTCCTGAACTAAGGAATAGCCTGCTTAATATGCAGAAATCCTGGCCACGTGTAGCACATCTTCAGAATCAGCCCTGGCAAAACTTGCTTGTGGGAAAAGTGGGGCAGTAGAGGAAAAGCTAACTGCGGTTCTTCCTCCAGCAGCAAAGGTCCTACTTGTTTAACAGCAATTAGGAAATGGGCTTAGGGGTCAGCTAATCACAAACTCTCAGGGTGAGGTTATTATAAAGGCAAATGTACATGAATTGCAAACAGTCTTTCCTAAAAAGCTCAGGGAGGTTGTGGAATCTACTTCCTTGGAGTTACTCCAAATTTGGCTAGACAAGGCACAAAGCAAACTCATCTATCTTTGGAGTTGACCTTGCCTAAACCAAAACGTTCAACTGCTCCAGAAATCCCCCCCCCAACAGCATTATTCTCTAATTTCCCAGAGGAGTGGTCTATCTTGGTTGCCCAACCAAGCAGGGAAGTGACAGGGAGGGAGTGGGATAGTAAAGCAGGGCTGACATCCCTGCTCATGCTCCTATTGACCCCCACGTTGGGGGAATGCTTCCAGTACAAAAGTCTTTGGTGTGTGGCCAACAGAGACACGATAGGCCCAGTGGGTGAAAGAAGAGTAGAACCAGACAACACAGTGTTAAACATTTGCACCAACTCTCTCTTCCAGGTGTCTGCCTGCAAGGAATGACTACGCCCAGGTGCAAACAATGGGAGGAATGAGAATTTCAGATGCAAATCCTCCCCTTAGGAAGGAACAGAACTGGCCTGGGGAAGGGTGGGAAGTGGCAGAAGTCCATTTTGGGGTGGGAGTCAGGGAAGAAAGTGGAGGAACAGAGTGGGTTACTTTGTTCAAATTGGAAAGATTTTTTCCTGCATTTTCTGTTTGAAGCCAATGACTTCCACCCTTTTTCCCCAAAAAATTGTATCACTGTCCAGCAGAAATTTTTGTCACCATAAATGGATGAAACATGAAAAGAATGGGGTAACTGGGAGGAGGCACGCTCTCAACGTGACTTTTGCTGAGAGCTCCATGTTTGCTTTGAGTCCCCAGTCCTCCATGCACCTGCAAATCCAAGCACAGCATGGGTGGACCAGGGCAGGACCTGCCCCAGAACTCTGCTGCTTCTCCAGGTTCCCTCATATGGGTATTGGACAAGCTGTGAGAACAGTCTAGACCATGTTTTTGCCAAGAAAGGTTGGACCAGATGATCCTTGAAGTCCCTTCCAACCTGGTATTCTAAGATTCTATGATTCTGTGATTGAAATCCAAGGGAAGAAGAAAAAGTGATGCCTGAAATCCCCCATTACCTTCCCTTCCTGAGAAGACAGCAACTGCCATTTTCTGGCTGCTACCTCCACATCACACATGGTCCTCTGCCCACCCACCTTATGGTTCCCTCCAAGGACTAAGCTTGCACCAACACCTAGCCCGCTCTCTGTACCAAGTCATCCTTACCTGGTGTAAATCTCTTCTCCTTCTGGTTGTAGAAGTCCTGGTAGGATGAGATCACCACAGGAATAATGGGGACCTGGAGGGGAGACAGTCTACAATGAATCTATAATTTCCCCATTCCTCCCCCAAAATGGAACTGGTGTTCTTATGGGAATCCTGCACCTTGCTGATAATTATCTCAGTCAGCTTCATAGTAGGCACTCAGAGGGGTATTTAGAACTTTTAACTGCATCACACAACATCCTCGCTGTTACTTTTTGCACTTTCATCTCTGTATTTAGGCCAACAATGCATGGATTGCCAAATCAGTATGTACAGAGGCCTGTTCAGCAGAAACTCCCCCTGGGCAGGTCCAGGGCTCTTGTCAAGGTCCCTCCACTTTTTTCCCAAGATGAGTCATGAAGATTTTTCATCTGTCCCTGAGACAGCCCCCTCCTGTGCCCTCTGCAAGCTCCTGCTGGGCTCTTGGATGTGTGCTTTATCCAAAGGGAAGTCAGGGACTCAAAACCCTGGTTGCTGGTAGACCATGGTAGGCAAACCACACCCCACGGGGCAGGTGGAAGGTGGCTCTCACCTGGGCTTTCACAGCCAGTTGGAAGGCTCCACGTTTGAAGGGCAACATGGAGCCACCATGATTGCGAGTTCCTTCAGGGAAGATCAAGACGCGGAACTGCAGGAGAGAGAAGACATTGAGATAGAGGCACCTGCAGTTACTATTCTAAACCACTGCACAGATGTATTCCCCTGGGACTGATCTGTCTGCTCTTGACCATGCAGAGACATCCACTTCCTCCATTTCAAGCACTTTAAGGACACAAAGCATGCTGCACCCACCAGAGACTGCCCAGTCCTCAGCCCAGAGACAAAGATCCCTTTTCAGCTGCATCAAGCTCTATGGTTTCCAGTGCCTCCTCACCAAAGAGTCCTTCCCACTCACATTTTCTTTGTGCAGGGAGTGTGCCACCTCTGTCAAGGTAGTGATAGACTCTTCCCTCTTCTTGCGGTCAATGAAGATGAGTCCTGAAAGCCAACATGCCAGTCCAAAAGTGCCCATGTATAGGATTTCCTTCTTTGCAATAGGCACACAGCGACTTGGTAACATCTCCATCATCACTGGAAGGGGACAACAAGGACAGAACAAGTTGTCATCTGCACAGAGGATTCCTCCAGATTCTGGGCTACAGCACTTTTCTCTGGGACGTGCCATGCCTTCAGCGCTTATCCAGCTTCACAGGATCAAAAACATGTTGGGAAAGGGATTCTGGGGGTCTCCAGACCAATCTCTGAGGAGGACTATTCCTGACAATGAATGAGAGCAGCTATGACATAGCTGTGGTCAACTGACATTCTCATCCCCATTCTCTTGGAAAGGATGAAGCTGATTTAGCTTGAAAATACATATTGGGCTCTAATACCCTGGGGAACAGCCCTGGCTTGGGGCTAGCTGGCAATGGACTACATAGCAGCCACTCCTGCCCCTCTGCCTGTGGTACTTGGGATTTTGTACTACCCTCCTCTACAGACAGCTGGAGCCAGGAGCAGGAGCCAGGATCACCACATACCCATAATGTCAAGGGAGGTCTGGTGATTCATCACGAGGACAAAAGGTTTCTTAGTCCTGAGGTTCTCCTTGCCCTTCACCACTATCTTCATCCCAAAGATGTATTTGAGAGGCCACAATGACATGCACAAATACCTGGAAAAGGGGAGCAGACATAAGCCAAAGAGATGGTGAAACTGGGTAAAGGATCTAAACACCATTCTTCCAAACCAGCCCATCTTAGACTGCCTCTGCAGAGCAGCCTGTTTCTCCACATTCCCAGGTTTGACCCAGGACTTGGAGAAGAGCAATTAGTAAGTCTTTTCAGCTCATCACTTCACTAAAGACCAATACACCTCGTAGATTTTCTTCAGGCCAGGTTAGACCAATGGCCAGACAACTTCAGCTACAGCAATTCTGGGGATCAGTCAAATACTAGATAATGCCCAAATTAATAGTGGACCTGTTTGTACTCTAGTTCCCTGCCCACCTTGCTGAATAGTGAACGCAGGCTGCCATGAATGTGCCATACACCTAACTCCACTATTGCCCACGCTGTGGAAAGAGATGATTTTGCCTCTGGGTGACATTAGACTGCAATTCTGGCAGCCATATATTAACATATACTGGAAAAATAAAGACAAGAATAAAAGGCACAAAAGTCAAAAACTGAAGAAAATTTCTTGAAGTGAAAGGCTGGTGCTCAATTGAGAGATACCAACTTCCACTGCAGCATACAAGGATGAAGTAGTAAATCCTGCTCCCACAGCACTTGAGGAGGCTACAAGCACCGTGCTGCCGTATAGCCGAATCAGCTTCTAGCCCCTGCTCAACCCACACCCCAAGTTACTAATGCCCACCGCAGCTAATCACACGTGTACAGCCGCCCAGCTGCCGGGTGAGTCCGGCAGCTCATTGCAGAGGCAGTAACAGATGGATAGAGGGGATGGGCAGCAAGGGGATGGGCTCAGAGACTGCCAGACCTGGGGGCAATGGGCTGTAATTGCAGTGATGGGGACACCAGTGACCACGCAGGTGCCAGCACTGCGATGTGGTAACGTCTGCTCGTGCCTGTTCAGGTGGGCACTGGCTCAGAGTAGAGTTGAGAAGGAGAAGAGCACTTGCAGAGGCTTTCCCAAAACAACTTAGAAAGGGGACAACCAGCCACATGGTGGAGGGGAATACAGCTCTGAAGACCAGATAAGAGTGAGTTACTTTACCTGTGCATTGTATCCAGTTTGTTGGTGTTACCTAGTTTGACAAATTTATGTCACCTTTTACATCCTTTCTCTCCATCGTTCATTATTCTTTCTATCAACTCAAATACAATACTGAAACCCACATCCCTTCTCTGAATTGCAGAGCCTGGCAGCTCTCCACACCAATGCACAATTAATTCCTCCCCGCTGCACTGCAACTCCCAGGACCCTCCAAAACAGAGTGCGAGTTGACTCTATCCATGCCCAGAGCAGAAAGAAGCCACAGACAACTTACTTCATGTTTTCCACATTACGTCCGCGAGGAATACACAGCATAATAACCAGAATGCTTACGGTGAAGAGCCACAACTTATAGAAGGTCATCTTGCAGAAGTATCTGAAAGCAGGATTCACCTGGTAAAGGACTAGAAACGTGATGAAGAGAAAAGTAAATGGGTAGTGAAGGAGCAAAAATTCCATCCTTCCAGCCCAGAGTCAACCAGAGGAGTGTTGCACAGAGCAGTAAATGAGTCACGAGCACCCGATGTTGTGGAGCAGAGTTTAGATTCCCTTGATCAGCGACATGTGGGTGGCACAAGGCTGGAACGAGATTCGGGAGCGATGCTTCAGAAAGGCTGTGTTCGCTGCTCAGTGCTAAACGAACCATGGAAAGCCGGTTTAGCAAGGGATCTCCAGCAGCACTGTGTGTAGGAGCTGGCTGGCAAGCAAGGGCAGACATGCAATAGCAAGGCTGCCGATGTGCAGGGGGTGTGTGGCTCTGGGCTGGTAGAGTGATGACTGCTTGGAGAGACAGCCCAACCCCCCACGCCCCGGGGAGCTCTGTACATAGGAACCCTGAGAACTTTTAAGAAAATCTTTAATGGGAGGGAGTGTGTTGTGTCAGACAGCACAGACACCAAGCTGTGTCGCTCTCCATGCAAACACCGAACTCCACCAACAAGTGAGCTAGCTGCAAGATGTCCAGGGAATAAGAAATTAGTATTATGGAAGAGAGAAAGAGAAAACCAGTGATCCAAGCGGACAGCTCCTGCCCCGTACATCTGGGCATTAGAGGGACGAAGTCAAGCAGCTAGACATTGCTCAAGAAGAGTGGGAAAAGTGGAAAAAGTGCCACATGTCTAGACAAAAAGATAAACAAAGCACGAGCAGCTACTCCTGATGTTTTCATGGCCAGAGGCAGGCACATGTTTAGACAGCATCTGCATACATAAGAAGTAAATCATGAAAATGTAAGTATAACCTGGCAGTGCTCCAGCTGCATTTCATCTCCTAAAACCACTGCATGAGAAGGATCTTTGCAACAAGTACAATGACTAGGCTGAAAAACAAAAGCTTCATGTTTCATCATCTGCATGACGGGCCTTGTTCAAGCAGCTATCACTTGAGAGGAGTAGTAATATTAAATTCCAGCCAGGACTGAAAGCTGCAGATCCTCAAAAGGGAACGGGGAAGTCCGAGAACCCATAAAACCACATTGATAGTCACCTGCACCTAAAGAACAGCATCAAATCCCCGAGAGCAGTAAAATGGACAATGCTCAGCAATACTGAATGAAGAAAGTGAGGAAAGGCATGATAATAAAGAAAGGCATTGGTGGTGCTCCCTGCTCCCTTGGCTTAGCCAGGGACACATCTTCTCCTGTCTTTCATGGGAAAACTGGAGAGAAGTGACTGCACACACTGCTGCTCAGCTCTCCCAAGGCTTCCCTGCAACCACAGAGGCAGCCAAAGCAAAGAGATTCGTCCACAGCCTCCTCACTGTCTCTGCACCAGCATATGGAAAAGACAAGCATCTCCTCTGTGCACATTGGACCCCTCTGTACTGCAGAGACTAGCTCACTTTTGGAGCTGGTTCACAGAGACTAGCCATGGCTGCTTTGTGCTTTTCCAAGGTCTGATCCAGCAAACAGTTACTCTCTTAATGCCTATTTACCTTCTTAATATCTCACCTATATCAATTATGGCCTTTCACAGTTGGGTGGATGTTGATTTGACATGCAACTGGTTCATCCTGACCTACCAGGAGAGAGGTTCCTAAAATGTAATGCCAATGTGTCGAGGCTTCAGTTGGGATAGAGTTAACTTTTTTCCTAGCAGCTGGTGTAGTGCTGTGTTTTGGATTTGGGATGAGGAATACTGTTGGTAGCACACTGGTGGTTTCAGTTGCTGCTGAGCAGTCAAGGGCTCCTCACACCTCCCTGCCAGCGGTGGGCCGGGGGGCACAAGGAGCTGGGAGGGGACACAGGTGGGACAGCTGTCCCCAGCTGACCACAGGGATGTCCCACCCCATGCGACGTCGTGCTCAGTACGTAAAGCTGGGGAAGAAGATGGAAGGGGGGACATTTGGAGGGATGGCATTTGTCTTCCCAAGTCACCATTACACGTGACGGAGCCTGGCTGTCCTGGGGCTGGCTGAACACCCACCTGCCATGGGACATGGTGAATGAATTCCTTGTTTTGCTTTGCTCATGTGTGCAGCTTTTGCTTTACTTATTAAGCTATCTTATCTCAACCCATGAGCTTTTCCTCACTTTTACTCTTCTGATTCTTTTCCCCATCGCAGCTGGGGGGTGAGCAACCAGCTGCGTGGTCCTGGCTGCCAACTGGAATTAAACTGTGACACAGCAAAAGGCTGGAAGGACAGCCATAGGTTTCAAATCAAGCTGGTCATTGTCAGGCTCCTAATGGGAGACGGACATCTTACACACTTACTCTGCACATGAAAACTCATCCAGAATGTCTAAGGAGAGGGAAGCGTGCAAATAGGAACTCATCACAAATCACTGAAGACCTTTATTTTTAAGTCACTGACAGTAATTTACAAATACTTCCACCAAGGCTTAAGGAAATTATGTTCCTGCAGTATAGAGTGTACTACCAAACAGGTACTAAGCTGTAGCAAGTTGTTGACTTACCCAAAGGAGAACAGCAACCCTAAAATACAGCTGATCTACAAGAACACAGGATCCTGAACCTGAGGGAAAGGCAGAAGAATGTCTCCAGCACAACTGGTGGTCTCCATGTGGTCAAAACAAAGCATAACCAGAGAAGGACCCACATAAGCAGATTTACAAGTGTGAGGATCTGTTAGATCTAGCGTGGCTGGTATATGGGAGGAATACTTCTCCATGGCACCACCAAACTGAGAAATAACCAACATTGGCTGGGCATCACTGAGCTGCTCCATGCAGAAAGGTAACTCCAGACATTCGGAGCACTGATGACAGACACAGTCTCAAGAAGACATCAGATACACAAGAGCTTGAAGCTCAACTAATGGTTATTTGAGGCTTTCAATAGCTGGTATCTCTCATGAGTATGGGAAAAGGAAAGGGCATAAAGAGATAATAAAAATTATGCCATTCCCAACTCACCACGGAGAGACAGTCAGCTCCTATCTAACAAAACACGGAGGCTCCAAACCCACAGATACCAAAATCCTCAGCTATAATTTTCTTCTGTTGCAAGGCTCCCTAGCACCAAGATCCATCATGCTTCCATTGCAAAAGCAGCCAGGTCTTACCTAACCTGTAAGGCGTTTTCAGAAACTACTAATGAAGCTCCCAGTTTCCAGAGTAAATGTATCCATGCTCAGCTGACTCCCTTTTGCCCCTGGGTCTTTGCACCTTTTCTGGAGCCTGGCCCAATTTCAGTGAATCTTAGATAGGGAGAGGAGGGGCTTGTTCACATCACGAGCTTTCACCATCCAGCTTTAATGACTCTCCTACTCACCAGCTCTGCTAAGCCACACATTGGCCAGAAGAGAGAGGTGGAGGCAGGGAAGGTGATCTAATCTAATGGGAAAAAGTCAAGAAATTTGTCCTGCTCACAGTAAGCAAATGAAGGCTCAGAAGAAAACGGACTGTCAATACAGCAACACGAGAGACAGAAGAGTTTCTTAAAGATCACAATTGACTTTTAAACACAAAAGCAATGATTTCAAGAGAAATAAGGGCACTGGATTCTGAAATGGGAGCACTGGAAACTGCTGACAAAATAGTTCCACTGGAAGAGACTGGAACAAGCTATGAAAGGGCAAAGTGTTGGGACTGCTCAGTGCCAAGGACCACATCAGCCACCCAGTCTTCAAAAGAAGAACAGTACTAAAGGGAACTCATCTAGTGCATGCAGTTACTACACAGTTAAACAGAGGCATTAAAACTGATATTAAAAACTTTAGAGGGATTCCAGGGTAAGCATATTGGAGACAGGTTATCAAGACTGAGGAAACTGTGTTTGTCACACTCTGGCTGCAGCTCCATGATGAATCCATGCATCACTCAGTTTTTTCAAAGGCACAGATTTGCTCTGGATACCTACCTCTGAGTAAAAACATAGCTGGAAATTTTTGTAATGACAGCAGAAGAAGAGTTTCTACAAGAAAATGCGTAACAACTCATGAAGATTTCTGCAGCATCCAGACAGCTCTGACAGAAACATAATGTGACAGGCTAGAATAGCTTGTGTTGCAGGACTTACATCCAAGGAGGTAGTACAGTCAGGTGAAATGTGGGCTGGAAAATAAGTCAGTTTATCACTTTAAATCACAGAAAAATTGAGGTGGGAAGGGAGTCAAACCAGCTACTCAGAGTAGGGTTAACTCCAATTAATTAGCTTGCTCGGGACCTTGTCCAGGCAAGTTTGGAGAATTTCCAAGGATGGAGATCCCATTAGCTCTCTGGTCCCTGTGTCCACATTGCACCACTATCTTCTTTGTCTAATGGGAATTTCCCTTGTTGCAACCTATGTCTATACCTCTCAGCCTTTCACTGTGCATCTCTGAGAAGTGTCTGGCTTCATAGCTACTCACTAGGAAGCTGAAGACTGAAATCACCCCTTTCTGCTCTTCTCTTCTCCAGACTGAGCAAATCCAGCATCCTCAGCCTTTCTTTGTACACCTTGTGCTCCAGCTCACTGACCACGTTGGTAGACCTCCACTCCAGTGAGGTGTAGTCATCACCAGGAGAAGGTCCTGAGCAAGATGGACTCAGGATGGACATCCATTCCCAGAGCTGAAACAGCTGGGGAGGCTGCAGGTGGGAAAGAAAGTGAATGAGAGGCCCCAACAGAGCTGGGAGGGAGATCCGTGTTTCTGAAATCTGCCGCAGAGACTGAGGAGGGCAAACAATCCTGTCCCATCTCCTGCAGGATGTATTCCCCATCTCAGTGGCTCCATGGCCAGGGAGGGCACGCCCCCGGCAGCCCTGTTGCAGCAGCCCCCATCCTGCTGTACATGCACTTCACGGGTTTGGTTAAGCAATCAAGCCAATAAAGTAGATTAAATTTTCCAAATTCCAGCCTTTTCAGCTAAAATTGGAAAAAAAGGTCCTCTGCTTAGTGCACACAGAAAGATTTCGAGCCAGTCATTTTCTCCCCCTTAATTGCTGCACTCCAAAGGTAATGAATGAGACCGCCCCTGTTCCCAAGGGGCTGAACAGATGTTGGAGGTGCAGACATCAG